CGAACCCTTCACTACTGAAGAAGTTTCAAATATTATCAAAGAGCTTCATAACTGGAAATCTCATGGACCAGATGGCGTTCAGAATTTCTGGCTCAAAAAGTTCTGGAGTATTCATAAGTGCTTATCAGCAATAATTATCATCTACTCTACATCGCGCGATTTGTGCAATAGATGATGCAACAGTGGTCAAACTAAGGGAACCAGAAATGTGCATAAACCATCTTACTAAGGACGGGAAAATGCGCACCTGGATGGGTAAACCTCTGCACGGGCGACATCCCAATGAGGCCAGTCAAGATCATGTCGACAATATAGCGTCGAACTATTGGCTGACATCGGGAAAGATGTTCCCTAAAATAGGAGGGTTCACTACTGGCCATTCAGGATCAAAAAATTACCTGAAATATATCGTCAAAGACACTCAGGTTCAAAATGACAAATGCCGATATGGATGTCAAACCCAGGAAACCATCCAACATCTTACTGAGGGCTGTCAGGCATTTGCTGCAACTGAATACAAGGAACGGCACGACTCAGTAGAAAAGATCTTTCGTCAAGAGATAGCTATCAAACTGGGACTTCTTCAAACAAACCATCTTCCACATTATCAATACGTTCCTTGAGTATACTTGAGAGTATACTTGAAAATGACAACTACAAGCTATACTGGGACCGCACTTTGCTCACAGACCAAACAGTGACACATAATAGACCAGATCTCATACTAGTTAATAAACTAAAGAGACAAGCAACAATAATTGATGTGGAGATACCCAACAATAATAATCTTCGTGCTAAACAGAACGAAAAAATCGCCAAGTACAGGGATCTGGAAATTCAAATACGAAGACAGTGGAGAATGGAAAGTACCCAGAGAATACCTATTATTTTCTCTACTACTGGAGTCATTCCAAAGAACCTCCTAGATAACATAAAAAAGCTAGGTCTGAACGAACATCTCTACAAGAACATGCAGAAAGCTGTACTACTCTCAACTTCCAGATGTGTACGAAAATTTTTGTGAGATACTCCAGCATATCAGGTCACCTAGGGCTCGATAAAATGGAAAGAATCCCACCAGAGATCAATCCTTTTGATACCATAGGTATCTGGAATGAGTGAATTTTTCCCTTAGAGGGGGTGTGAGCCATAAGACTATATCTGGAAATAATAACAAACAACAACGCTGGATGGATTGAAGAAACGACAAACAACTGTCAACACTACAGTAATATTCCCTATGAAACTTTCACCACTGAAGAAGTCTCGAACATTATCAAAGAGCTTTATAACTGAATTTCTCCTTGACCAGACGGTGTTCAAAACTTCTGGCTAAAGAAGTTTTGGAGTGCTCATGAGCTTTTAACAGTGTCTATTAATAATATTATTTCTAATTCATAGGAAATATCATCATTTCTTACCAGGGAACCACTTATCTAATACCGAAAGATCAAAATAATATCCAAGATCTAGCCAAATACCGCCCAATTACTTGTCTTCCAACTTTGTACAAATTGGTCACATCCTGTGTGGACCGGCGTATCTACCAACACTGTGCGCTGAACAATATCATAAAGCCTCAACAGAAAGAATGCCCTACGGGCCCTATGGGCTGCAAAGAACAACTTATTATCGACTTAGTCATTTCTAACCAGGCATACACCAAAATAAGAAACCATTTTACTGCCTTCATTGACTACAAGAAGGCTTTTGCCTTCTAAAATTCATTACTATAAGCTATAATTAATCAAGAGCGATTTCAGGTTGCCTATACGGCAACCTAGACAAGATACATTTAAAAAATTGAAAGATCGATTTAGCGGCACTGGTTTAGTGAATTATGAAAACATGAACTAACAAAAACTAGTGTGACAGAGGAAAACGAAATGAGTGTGTTGATGGCAGTTACAGAACACCCACACACAAGTGTAAGGAGTATTTCCAATTAACAAGAACTTAGTTACTACTCTGTTCAAAACTTTTGCACATTAAATTCAGCACCAAGAATTAAATAATGACGATTTTCAGAAACAAATAGTATTTTGTGAATGAGTCTTAGGAAAAATTAATGAGCAGAGAGATTTTTTTGATTATGTCCTATTTGGTGATGAAGCTATATTCCATCGAACCGGTTCTGTTAGTAGGCATAACTTTCACTACTATTCTACAAGTAATCCATACCACATAATAACACATAGTCAAACAAGATGGTCTCTAAATGTGTGTGGAGGTATCGTCGGTAACCATGTAGTAGGACCATATTTTTTTGAAGATAACTTAAATGGTGAGATTTATTTAGATTTTATCGTAATTCAGTTACCGATATTATTAGAAGAGGTTCCACTTAATATATATGAACAAATGTGGTTTCTACATGACGGTGCTCCTGCGCACCGCAACGAATTAGTACATGGTAAACCTAATGATCAGTTTGGTGAAAGATGGATCGGAAGGGATGGACCACTAAGGTGGCCCCCAAGGTCACCAGAATTCAATAAAAGGGATTTTTTTTTGGGTTACGTTAAGAACGAAGTATATAAAATACCTCCAACAACAAGGGATAATATGAAAAATAGAATCCGAATTGCATTTCAAATTATTTTTTTACAAATGCTTAGTAATGTAAGCAAGTCTTTCTTCAAGTATGCATATATGTTTTGGGAGGTCATTTTAAACACATTACTTAAGTAAGATAAGTTAAAATTACTGTTGTTTTTATTTTTCTATGTAATAAACTGTCAGTTTCTGACAAATCAATCATGGCCAACTTACAATAATTATTGTTAAATGTTAAAATATCTACCAAATTAATACTTTGTAAGTATTTCATGTTAGTAAAGTAAAGTACTCCAGGTAATTTAAAACGCAGAAGTAAGGCAACCACAAAATATAACAACAGAAAAATACAACATTGAGGGGGAAAAAACTTTATGTACTTGGGATCCCTAGCCACGTCTGATAATAACGTTACGGAGGAAGTGAAGAGGCGAATATTTATTGCCAATAAATGTTACCTTTACCCTTAGCCACCTTCGAAAGAAAAATCTTGCGACAGATATATAAGGGCACAAAATAAAACGGAATATGGCGAAGAAGATACATTTTTGAACTATGCAAAATATACCAGGATCCGGATATTATATCATTCATTAAAATAGGACGGCTGCGTTGGATAGGACATGTAGAAAAAATGGAAGAACGCTAAATACCAAACAAAATATTCAACAGATGCCAGTAGGAAAAAGAACAAGAGAAAGACAGAAGCTGAGATACTTAGAATAAATAGAAAATGATATAACAACCTTAAAAATAAAAAACTGAAGAAAAAAAGCACGAAACAGATCAGAATGGAGAAGAATCCTGGAACAGGCCAAGACTCAAAAAGGGTTGTCGAGCCAGTGATGATGATGAAGTACATAAAATTTGAAGTACGATATTAGTACTTTTCGATAGTGATAGAAAATACAGGGTGTTCTATTTAAAATTACGAAGAAAATAATGTACTTGCTTTTTGACTTACTCTGTAAGTAAAAGAAAAAGAAAGTGGCCTAGCAAACACAAGTCGAATAAACTCACAATACAAAATCAAATCAAGAAATTACCCATACTCCGATCTCAAAAACCTAATAAAAGACCACTGTAAACCAAACTATATGAGATTTCCCCTTGTGAAGACCATCTTGAATAATCCATCGCATAGAAGCATAAGAATCATCTCCTTCTGCAGAAACGGTTCTCTCCCATTGACGGTGCAGCATATTCTGATTGATTGCCAGTACCACGAAGAAACGAGAAGAAAATATTGAATCTCAGATGATATCAAAACCACTTTGACCATAAACACTGACCATGTAATAAATTATTTAAAAGATTTATGTTTATATACATCTATTTAATGTAAATAAAATAAATTTTTGTGTACGATACTCCACTAAATAACCCTGCGTGGTTGATGTGGATTATATGTTAAAATAAAAAGAATATATATTAAAAAACTATGGTTGTAATAGATCAATGTTCCTATACTCCTTTTTAGTTATACAGGGAGTTAAACTTGATACGATTTTCAGGTAATATTGGTTATAACTTTTTAAATACCCGGTATAACATAATAAAACTGTATATTGTTGTGATATAGAAGTGAAGCAGATTTCAAATTTAAAATAAAAATACAGGGTGTTTAATGTAAAAAAAAAAAAACATAAGTTTGGTCTGCCACCATATTATGGAACACGCTGTAAGATTTAACTAATTTTAAAATGTGGAGTTTAATTTTTACTATATCAGATCTACTTCCTCACACTAATCAATCACCCTGTATAAAAGATAGGATATAAAAAAAAGTAAAACGAGAAAATCTAAATTACTTCGGCCACATAGCTAGAAGAACGGGGACCATGGAATTATTGATAGTAGAAGGAAAGGTAGAAGACCGAAGACCAAGAGAAAAATCTCCAACACAATGGGCACATCAAATGAAAACTCTGGTGGGAAAATTCCTACATGAAACCGTAAGGAAAAAAACTTTATTTCTACAAATTATGAGAAATCAAAAGTAGATACAACCTACTAGAAATTTTCATTCATTAATTTAATTATTTTGTTATGTATTTTAATACTGATGTATTTTTTACCAATATAGGCATATTTAATACTAATGAATTTTCAACATCCTAATAGATACGTAACCCGAAAAATAAGAAGACCATGAGGTAAGCAACAGGACATAGATTTTTTTTTTCGATTGTAAATCATCCATAAAAAAATAACTTCAAGACACATTTAAATAAATAGAATGTAAATGTAATTGCTAAGTTCTTTATTCAATCAAAAACATTTGAATATTTCTTTATAAATTATCTATACCGATAGTTATAGTAATTTATATAAAAATAATACTCAATTAAAAAAATATATTTATAAAAAACTTATTAACCAGCCGTATATAGGTTATTATTTTTATATTGATCCAATATTAAGAATGATGGATTAATACATACCTTTACGAGATATTCAAAAAATATAGCACTCACAGTTTTAACTGATGAACTGGACAAAAGATACACGAAAAATAAAAGTTTTAATAGCATATCGGGTTTCTATATTATCAATCAAGTTTTTTTATTACTTTTTAGTATTAGTACGTCCAACTAGCAAATTATTGATAAATAGGTAGTTCTTTTTAATTTACAGGCTTTTAAAAATCATTATGAATTTTAAGATAAAATAATAATTGAAATAAGTAAATAAGTTTAAATGTTCGAAAAAATTATTGCACCACCAGTGCCTTAAATAAATATGCTAATATAACAATAAATATTGATAGCAGCAAATAATTATTATGTTATGTATATGTTTTCATTCGTTCTTTCTTATAATTCCACTGATTTTTTACCTCATTTTTATCCTTATTATAATCCTTATTCCATACAAGAAGTAATTTAAAAGGTTAAAGAGGGATTATACCGATCCCAAATAAAAGTGCATGAGATGCTTCTTAAATGCCCAGTTTCCGGTGCAACATTTATTGAAGACGTTTGAGGCAAACGCCGAGATTGATGAATCCATACACAGATCATCAAGAACATCAACAAAGAATCTATCGAGTAAAATCTTCACAAAAAGTTTCTATCTTACAATAAAAGATTTTATCTTTTAACCCCTACTATAACAAGATATTGATAACGTACTACCTCACATATCAAAATTATTAAAGTTGAGGTTTTATCTTCTTCTTTCACAACCGTGAGGATCGATTAAGGTCTGCTTTATTTCTAATAGTAGCAAACGTCTTCCAGAAGGTATTTCTTATAAAAGGAGTGGAAAAAAGTAAACACGGATATAAAAAGTGAATACTACTTATCAAATCTACTTCTTCACGAAGAAAAATTTCTCCGTCAACCAGGAAAATTTGTCCTACCTATTCTTACTCTCCTTTTTACTAATAACTGATTGGAAAAAAATCAGTTCAAGCTGCTACTAAAGTGTCAATTTCGTCTCTGGGTGTATTCTCTGGTGTGTGTATTTGATTTAAGGGTACCCCACAACCTTATCTCGATTTAAGGCAACTCTTATCCCTCTTCCCAAATGTCCAGACAATTATTCTTGATTTTTTCTACTACTGGTGACGGCTGTTCTGGAATCCTACGGAGGAGGTATAAAGAGTAAACAAGATTAAGATGAATATATAAAAGAGGATCTTTTCGCGCGTTTCTTCTTGTTGGGTAAATTTACTGTTTGACAGTAAGAAAGCAAAGTTTCCTCAAGGATGTCTATGTATTTGTCAGGGAGATAAGAAAGATAATTGAAGCTCTCCATAAGATCGGAGTCGACTACAGAGACATTCGAACAATAGCGAGTCTCTATTGGGGTCAAACAGCTAAAGTGAAATTAGGATCTACATTGACCAATAAAATTGAGATCAAGAAAGGGGTACGACAGTGCTGTATCTTGTCTCCAATTCTCTTTACTATATACTCAGAAGAAGTATTTAAGACAGCGCTGGAGGAAAGCACAGAAGGCATAAAGATTAATGGAGAAATAATTAATAACATAAGGTATGCTGATGACACTGTGATTCTAGCAAGTAGCATGGAGGAACTGAGTTGCCTAATGAGTAAGATACAAAAAACAAGTGCACAATGCGGACTCAGACTAAATATCACAAAAACCAAATGGATGTTAGTAAGCAAAACCCAACAACCACCACAGCAACTGATATTAGACAATGAAAGAATTGAACACGTGGATTCGTACATCTACTTGGGAACAACAGTTAACTCAAATTGGGATCAAGCGAAGGAAATACGTATAAAAGTAGAAAAGGCAAGAGCATCGTTCACTAGCATGAAGCAAATTTTCACCTCTAAAAGCCTCACCCTACCTCTCAAAATTCGACTTCTGAAATGTTATGTATTCCCGGTTTTGTTATATGGAATGGAGACGTGGACAATGACCGCAACATTGATAAAAAAGTAGAGGCCTTCGAAATGTGGGCTTACCGACGTATATTACGTATATCCTGGACTGAGCACGTGACCAACGAAGAGGTACTACGCCGGATAGGTAAAGAGAGAGAGGTAGGATAAGTATAAAGAAAAGAAAGTTGGAATACTTGGGTCACGTTATGAGATATAATAAATATAGAGTACTACAGCTGATAGTTCAAGGGAAAATAGACAGCAGAAGGAGTCCAGGGAGGAGAAGACACTCGTGGCTCCAAAACTTGCGGCAATGGTTCGGATTGTCATCTGCTGAACTGTTCAGGTCTGCCGTAAACAAAGTCAGAATAGCCATGTTGATTGCCAGCGTTCGGAACGGACAAGGCACATGAAGAAGAAGATGATGATTTTTTGGGTGTAACTCTGCTCAGGGTGGGGAGCATGATTAGGTTGTTTTATAATTTATTTATTTGGACGGAGAGGAATCTTGTTGTTTGTAATTTGCTTTACACAAAATATTTTAAGTTACTCGCTTGTGTACAACACCGTGATTGAGGGAGGGTAGATAAATTTGCTCTGCACTCAATACGAAGACGTATGTACGTTTTCCTAGGTTACAGAGCACTGGTTTAAAATCAATGAATCCTTTTTTGTAGAAAAATATACCACAATTGCTAGGTATGATGGACGAAGTTCAGCTCATGGCGGCACCCTAATTCTTTCTACAATTAATGATTTCTCTTTGGTAACAAAATATGATTTCCTGTTGAGTTAAGCCTTCTTTGAGTTTTCCTCAATTAATAATAAGAATCTTAATCTAAACATTATTTTCATTTATAGATCACCTGACTCTTTCACGGAACCATTATTTTGGAACATGCTAAATTTTTTAGATGACGTGCACAATAAATTCACGTTAATTCTATTACTTCTTCTTCTTCTTTGGGTGCCGTGTCCGTATTCAGACATTGGCCGTCATCATGTTTACAATTTACTGAAACCTTTCTCTGTCGGCTGCTGCGCGAAATAATTCTTCTACTGTGAAACCACACCATTGTCTAATATTACGCAGCCATGAAAGTTTCTTTCGACCAATCCATCTCTTTCCTTCCACTTTTCCTTGTATAATAAGGCGAAGTAAATGGTATTTGGGTCCTCTAATTATATGGCCGAAGTATTCTGTTTTTCTCCTCTTTATGATGTTTATGAGCAGACGTTCTGAGTTGATCATTTGAAGAACATCTTCATTGGAAGTGTGCGAAGCCCACGATATCTTTAGGATTCGTCTATAGCACCACATTTCGAATGCTTCTAACTTGTTTAGCATTGTGGTTTTTAACATCCATGTCTCACAACCATACAATATGATCGACCACACATAACATTTCAGGACCTTCTTACGAATGTTCATTGACAGGTTTCTGTTGCATAAAACTGGTTTCCAGGTCATAAAAGCCTTACGTGATATTTCGATCCTGGATATTATCTCTTCATCAGAGTCACAATTTACATTTAACCAGCTGCCAAGGTATTTGAAATGATTTACCCTTTCTATCTCTTCTCCATTAAGAGAAAGCAGACCTTGATCTATATGGATCTTTCCAACTGCCATCCACTTTGTCTTTGAAATGTTGATTTTTAGGCCTCTCCGATAACTTGCTTCACTGACTAGATTTAGTAATGTTTGGAGATCTTGTAAACTTTCTGCAAGAATGGCTGTATCGTCAGCGTATCTAATATTGTTGATTACTTCTCCACCTAGTCTTACTCCCTCTTGTCTGTCATCCAAAGCCTCCCTAAAGATTTCTTCAGAGTACAGATTAAAAAGAGTGGGTGACAAAACACAACCCTGCCGTACTCCACGTTTGATGGGTATTTTTTCAGTGGAACTGTCTCCAATTTGGATAGAGGCTACTTGATTGTAATATAAGTATTTCAGCAGTCTTATATCATAGTGGTCAAGTCCTGCTGCCCGTAGGCAGTCGAAAAGTGTATTGTGTTGGACTCTGTCGAACGCCTTCTCGAAGTCGATGAAACAAACATAAACATTCTTTCGGAATTTACAACTTTTTTGTAATAGAACGCGCATACAGAATAGTGCCTCTCTAGTTCCTAGACCGTTTCTAAATCCAAATTGCTTATCACCCATCTTACTTTCGCATAGAAGGAATACTCGGTTTTGTATAATTCGTAAGAGTATCTTCAGTGTGTGACTCATCAAACTGATTAGTCTAAAATCGCTGCATTTGGTGGGCCTGCTTTTCTTTGGTAATGTTATAAACAGTGACTCTAACCAATCATCTGGTATTTTTCCTTCGTTGTAAATTTTGTTGAAGAAAGTGGTTAAGCAGGCAATGCTTTCCTCATCCAAAAGTTTAAGTAGTTCGGCAGGGATTTGATCTGGTCCAGGTGCTTTATTGTTTTTGGCTTGCTGTATTGCCTTTTAGACTTCCGAATTCAGTATATTGGGACCTCTGTCCAACTGGTTGTCATAGGCAGTATTTGGAGCATTTTCCCTAGAAGCATCGTCAAAAAGGTCAGTGATGTATCTCTCCCATTCTTTGCACTGTTGTTCGTGATCATAAATTTTTCCGTCCGCGCTTTTAAGTATGTGAGCATTTTTCTGTTTTCTAATTCCGGCAGTATATTTAAGTTTCTTATGCAGGTTGAAGCTGTCATGCTTTTTTTGGAGGTCTTCTATTTCTTTACATAAATTCTCAAGCCAGGAATCTTTGGCTTGCTTAATTTTTCTTTTTATGCGTTTATTAATTTCACGATATTCGATAATATTTCTATTTTTGTGTTGCCGTCGAACTTCCATCAGATCTAGAATTTCTTGTGTCATCCACTCATTTTTTGCCAACATGGTAGGTGTTTTCAAAGACTCTTCTACGTTCTCTAAAATAGAGTTTTGAATGGCATACCAGCATTCGTTAATGGTTCTGTTTTCGTTTGGTATATTTGATATTCTGTGTATTTTACTATTTATTTGCTGTGTTATGTGTTCGCGCGTTTGAGGGGTTTTCAGGGGGTCGAGATATATCTTACAAGGCTTAGTTGGCTTTGTTAATTTCTTCAATTTAATTTGTATTTTGGAGCAGAGTAAATTGTGAT